TTTTGGGCTGGTTACTGGATCTGTGAAGTTAAAATTGTAACTGAAAAATTATGACTTGCTGAATGATTATCCTATTTGTATGCATGTACCAATCTGTATCAGAATTTAGGAATATTGACTAAATATCTTAATTTCAAATGTAGTCACACCTGAGTAAGGTCCATTAGACAAGGTACTTTCAGACTGTATAGCTGGTAAGGAAAGGCCTATTCAGGGCAATGAGCCAGTCTTAAAAAAAAAAAAAAAAAAAAAGGCGCCTGAGGCCCTTAGGAGGAGCTTATCTCTCATCTGGTGAACCTTCCTATGAATGCCCCAAACAGACTGTGAGTGATAGCTGCTATGGCTGTACAAGGACATGTGACCAGGTCACATGATTCTGGACACCATCATGGGATATCAGTGTTTTTTCCACAAAATGCTTTGGGAACCAAACTTTGAAACACAGGCTTCCTGCCATATGCACAAACTGTAAAAGGCAGGGAATGACATCATCTGTGGCTTTTAACTTCCCACCTGAGAAGACTCCTGGGAACACTTGAACAAAGACTGAACTGGGTGAAGCACTAGATGTGGGCCAGTGGGGTTTCTAGCCTGCATATGAAAGATATGGAGATTCCAAGCTGCAAAGCAAGTACAGCTTGCCCCTTAAGAATTTGCAGCTTGCTTGTATCATCTCTTAGGGTGTGAATCTGTTCATATTTAGTACGTTACGTTTAGTTTAGAGTTGTTAGGTAATCTGCTTTGATCTGTCTGCTATCGCTTGTAGTTGCTTAAAATCTCCCTTTTTGTAGTTAATCTAAACTAGTGAGTTGGAGTGAAGTGGTAATCCGTAGTTCAGGGGGAAAAGGCTGTTTCATGTTCCCCTCCACACTGAAGGAGGGGATGAATTTTATGAGCTTTGCTGTGCAGTGCAAGATGGTGCAAGTTTGGGTGTATATTAGAGACAGGAAAAATGCCTGAGAATGTGATAGTTACCCTAGCTATAGCGTTCCTATGCAGGGGCTAGGCAGAGAGCTTGCATGTAACTGCAGCAGGGTGTGTCCCTACCTGTATGTATTCTGGTAAAAGTGCAGGCTGGGGGGCTCTGCAGCTTGTCACAGCAGCACAGTGTGAGAGGGAGCCCAGGCTGGTTGAGTCAGGGAGGCTCAGAGAGAACCCAGGTTCAGGTGGCACTCTGGAGAAACCCGTCCCATAGTTGCCAGTAAGGGTCCATTGTTAATACTGATTGTTGTATTTAGAAAGTTGATGAGGGTGTGGGACTCTTCAAAAGAGGCTTGGATGGATGGATGATGGATGTTGAAGTTGTGGTAGAAATCTATGAGGGACTTAGTTTCATCCTCTGGACAGACAACCTATCAGTGTCTCACAGGCATATACTTGGTTTTATGGTGCATTTGTCTGGAAATTCTTCCTCAAGGTGCCTAGCTGATTCAGCTTGGTACGTGAGCATAATCTAATAGTTATTAGTATGTTTGTGCTATCCTATTCCTTTAACTGAATGAAATAGGTGGGTGTCCTAAGAGATGCACACAGGAGTTTGTGGGACATGTATGAACTGAATGGCTTTTTTCTGATAAGTCTGTAGCAACGTTATTTTATATGCATATTCTATTCGTATTGGCAAAACTATTACCATGCTAACCCAAGGTCATTTTTTCAGAGCTGAATGGGACTAATAGTTGAATTGTGTCCTTGACTTTCACTGGTTCAAAGTATAATTAAATAAAAACAAATGGGTGCATAGAGCTTACTGACAGGATTAAACAAGGTACCTAAGAACACAAATGTCCAGAAGTACTTAGAACAGACATGAATTGCAGTAAGCACAGTGTAGAAAGATCAACTTTGATTAGACTAGAAGAGTCAATTAAATTGAGAGAGAAGGATAGTACAGTTAAAATCCGATATAGTCTATATAGCAAGAAGCCTTTAAATACCACAGAATGCCTCGCTTGATTCAAAGGCCAACACTAGTGAAAAAGCCTTAAACAAGATTTATCTCTGTAAGCCTCAGAACTAGAAGACTGAAATGGAAAGAGAAACATTCTGTCCTCCTCATCGGAGAGAGGCGGAAAAGTTCTGGCAGGCTTAATTGACATGAATGATGATGTTGCATTTTCATATAATGGTTTATGATGTGTATTGTTAGAAATTTCTTTGTTTCTGGAAGTGATATTAAGTGGCGGATATAAATGCATTTTTGAAAGGAATGTCTGGAGAAATTATTGAAAAGTATAGATTAGGGAAAGTTGGGTCATCCTCAACTACAGTAATAAATTCAGTTATGCAAGGTGACTAGAGATTCTTCCAGAAACCAGAGATTGTTTTCAGGGGGTCTGGCTTTGTTTTGGGTTTCCCACACAGAGATTCTAGACCCTGACTAACGTTGTGTGACCTAAGCTGGTATCTATGGAACTCACTTCACCTAGTCACAATGGAGCTGGTGGATTTGACTCTGTAGAACCAGATTAGGCATGAGCAGAGTTTGAGGTGCTGACTTCACTAAACCCCAAACTTGTAGTAGCAGCTGAGTAGAATGGGTCCTGGTGATGCAGATATCACAGGACTGAAGTGTATGGGCTGAGGTGAGTCACCTTTTGGAGCCCTCTTTATCTAGGGTGACCATACTTCATACATTGTCAGGGTCAGTCCCCTTCTTAAACCACGATCATCTGTTGACAAGAGAAAAAGGAACAAATATTCAGTTTTGTCAAAATTTTCAGGGGGCACAGAGTAATGTTTTGGGGGGGCCAAATGAAGATGTGAGGTGCTGGTTGGTGCAACTTGGGCTATCATCCATGTGTGGTCTGGGACTAGACCTGGCAGGGCTTAGGTGCTCAGCCGCAGCCTCTGCTGATGAGGGCAAGTACTGTTCTGGGGAAGAGGGGCTCAGACCAGCCCTGCTTAGGAGACTCAGGCAAGTGTTGAAGCCAGATGGCTCATGCCTCCTTCATGCTATGTCCTATTTTCACTTTGGGAAATATGGTCACCCTATCTTTGTCACATTTGCAACTAACTCAGTTTGTGATGGGAATGATTCTGCAAATAAGAATTCTGGTCATTAACCAGCCACACAGTTGCTGATTAGGATTGTGGACCTAACATTGCTGGCTTTTGCTAATTTCATTTTTATGAAGAGAAATATTTTAAATCTCCTCTGGCCCAAGGGATCCCGAGTGCTTGAGTGGGGAAAAAAGATTCTTGGGGGAGGGCTTGAAGCAATTTATTATTATTGTAGTCCCTTTACTAAAGGGTCCTCTGTTTTATTCTAAAAAGACCCTGTGTGCTGCAATCCAGACTACAATTCCCATGAGCCCTTGGAACAAAAGAGGTAGGAGGGACTCTTGTGAGAGAGAGGAGGTCTCTCCATGTGCTTGAAGAAGAGGCCTAGCAGTCTGGGACTCTGCCTTGCAGTTTGGAACCAAAGGGGGAGCCAGGCTGCTGCCAAGGACATTGACCCAGTGCAGAGGCTGTTGGAGTGCAGCTACTACATGCCTGTTGGAACTGGGAGTTAGCAGGCTGCTTCCTATAGGCACAGCATGAGGCAGTAAGTTTGGGCCTTGCTGGAAGAGTGCTGCCTGGGACAGAGCTGCTGTTTAGCCTGGACCAAATCCTCACTACAGCTGCAACATCAGCACGCCAATGCAAGCACGTGTCTGGGACTGAGTCTAAGGGTGTGCACACTCTGGGGTGGAGTAACTGTTGTCTAGCTATATAAGCTTCAGTTATTGTTATGTGTTAATGCTATTCCTTGCTAATCTGTTAATCCCTGTTTAGTTAAGTAAAGATGGTTTATTTTTAAGTATTCTATTAGATGTGTATGATTTGTAGTTGTTCTGGAATTAGATCCAGCTTTATGTTGGAATGAGTATATTCCTGGAGGCTCTCAAGGCACCAGTGTGTGTACAAGGCCAGCCAGGTGGAGGCACCACCACTTTACATTCATTGCCAGCAAGGGACTGCAGCAAGGGGGTGGATAGGGCTTTCCCCAGCTAAACACCATCACCCCTGGGGTACTCAGGATCTCTTTTGGGTTAAAACACCAGGCACCCAGGCACACCTGTGAGTGTGGCCTGCTCCCCAGTAACCCGGGGAGGAAAAAGGGGTTTTATTATTATTATTATTTCATTTAAAAGCTTCCTTTAGCTAGCTCGCTCACTCACTCATCCACAGTATTGGGAGGGGCACATAAAGAGTAAACTAAAAGTACAACACAAAGGGTCATAGCAGCGAGTGACTAACACAAAAACTAAGACTGGTGGGGACTCTAGTTTGTTGCTGATGGAAAGCATTGGACCTTTATTCTGTGTTTTTTATTTGTCTTTCAAACACTTTGACCTTGTAGCATGGAGAGGAAGGAAATAAAGGTTTTCTCGTGTTAAGAACAGGAGGGTACATTACAAACTGCTGATGGGTCTAAACAGGAAACATTTAGCTAAACCATCTCATCCTCTTTATGATATCCCTCTCAACTGTCCTTTATTTTGAGATTATGCCACTCATTATAATTCCCCCAATTTATCCCTTGTCCACAAAAAAGTTGATTGAAAGTTATTTGCATCACATAACCCATAAAATAGCTTCAGAGATTCCAAGGTCAGAAGGGACCATTGTGATCATAGGAAGTTTTATTTATACTAAAGAATTAATCTTACATTATTTTAAATTTTCTTCAAAATATTTCTGTTCTCTTCATGTTGGGGTCTTATGTCACACATTGTGTCCTGCATTTGGGCCTTAGCAGAGTGAGATGGAAACTGGTATCTGCAACCAAAGTCCTGGTTTTAGAAAATGAAGCCAACAAGGGTTTGCAAAGCCACCCTGATTTACTCCACCTTTAATGGTATCATGAGCTTTCGTGGGCACAGCCCACTTCTTCAGATGACCAGAGTTATGGCATCTGAAGAAGTGGACTGTGCCCACAAAAGCTCATATCATCTACATGTTTTGTTAGTCTTTAAGGTGCTAACAGATCATTTGTGTTGTCTTTTTCTGTACAGACTAACTGAACTACCCCTTGAAGCTTCCATGTTTGTCATCCCCAAATCTGCTACTGTCTGTGGATCCAAGGTAAACCAATGAATATCTTTGGTCCAAATTAGGTACTGTCCCAGGTTTTATACAAATACACTGATTTCCCTGGGTTTGAGGGAGATTGTCAGTGGAGAGTAAGGTCCTCTACCTTTTAGCTTGCCTTTCCATAGATGTTATTGCAATAATTACCTACCTCATGGAAGGATTAGAAGACTTAATGTTCCGAGTTATCACAAAATTCAGGAAAGTGCTAAGTATTATGTACAATCCTATTAATAGAATTGTTAGAAGATAGAAAATATGTTCTTTTCACATTTCTTTTTTGCTGAAGAAGCAACACCTACAATGAATAAAATCAGACAGACTAAGTGCTTTCTGAATGTGGGTCGGTCGTATATACGATATTCTTGCACACAGAATCTTTATCATTGCAACATGCTTTCATTGCATATAAGAAACAATAAAATCTCCCTCTGGTGGCTAATCTGACATCTGCACGTTCCTACAGTTGCTATGAGGGTATAAATTATTAATATTTATCTGATAGTGGAAACTAGAGGCACCATCAGCTGAAACTAGAGCCCTGTTGTGCTGGGTGCTTACCAAAGAACTCAATCTAAATAGACAGAGCGGACAACCAAACTCTTTGGCAGAACTAGGAATGGAACCGAAAGCTCGGATTTCCTAGTCCACTGTCTTAAACACATGGACAGAAACCTGTAGAACTGCTATGGCTCTAGTGTGCATGGGCACAGTTTAGGAGGGTGTGAACACCCCTGTGTAGGGGGAGAGCCCAGTTCAGATAGCCTCTTTCATAATGGCATAGGGGATGTGTGGCTGGAGGGTAAGGATGGGCTGGGTGAGAGATCACCCCTATCTTTTCAGCTTCTCCATTGCGTGCTCTCCATTGCGTGCGTGCTTGCTCTCTCTCTCTCTCTCTCTCTCTCTCTGAAAATACCAAGAACACAGAGATCATCCCCTTATTTATAGTGTTACTGTAGCATCTACTCATGGACCATGAATCCACTGGTGGTTTCAAAAGGAGGCTGGAGACCATCTGTCTTTGATCGTTTATAGCATTGATTTTCAAATTTTTCTAGACTATTTGTACCCATTTCAGGATTTGTCTTGCATAAAGTTTCACCTCTCTTATAACACTACTTGCTTACAAAATCATACATAAAAATACAAGTGTCACAAGCACATGGTTACTGGAATATTGCTTGGTTTCTCATCTTTACTATATAATTGTAAAATAAATCACTGGGATATAAATATTGTACTTGCATTTTAGGGCACAGTATACAGAGCAGTATAAACCATTGTACAAAATGTTAGTTTGTACTGACTTATCTAGTACTTTTAATGCAGTCTATTGTTAAACTAGGTACTTATCTAGATGTGTTGATGTGCCCCCAAAAGACCTCTGCATACTCTCTGGGGTACACATCCCTGGTTGAGAACCACTTATTTAGACCCAACAAATCCTGCAACTTGGACAGGGGGATTAGACTAGATCGGGGGGTGGGAAATAATTTTGGAAGGGGGGACACCACAAATTTCAGAAGTGGCCGCAGGCCTCAGATGGAAGAGGCAGGGCCTCAGGCAGAAGGGGTGGGGTTGAGAACTGCCCTGTTGGGAGATTTGCTAGGCCTGGGGACCCTGCCCCCGACTTCTGGACAATGGAAGGGACCTGGGGCAAATGCGAGGGTGCTGCGGCCTAGCTACCTCCCAGAGTTGTCTGGAGTGGAGGCTTAGAATTCATGTAACACGGCTGGCAGCTCCTGGCCCCACTGCTAACCTGTTGCCTGGAAGCTACCCAGAAGGCACAATTCCTTTGAATAGAAGCAGCTGAAAGGGCTCGCCCCTCCTGGGCAGCTCCCAAGCAGCAGGCCAGAGGAACCGAGAGTGGCGAGCCCTTTCAATTGTTTCTGTTCAAAGGGCTTTCACCTGAGGGGTGGCTGCCAGGAAGTGCAGACATCCAGCAAACATGAGCCCTTTAAATGAAGTAGTTGAAAGGACCTGCGTGTCTCCAGCTCCCAGGCAACGCACTAGGGCAGGGGTCAGCAACCTTTTAGAGGAGGAGTTCCAAGATTTGACTTATTCGCCTCTGTGTATGGGTCCATGGGCTGGTGATACTTTTCCAAGTCATTAATAGTCCTACTTATAGCAGCTTCATTAATTAATAAATTAAAATGCAGATTTTACCTTTTAGTGCAGGGGTTGGCAATCTTTCAGAAGTGGCATACTGAGATTTAACTTATTCACGGATCTGTGTGCTGACGAGAGGGGAGGCAAGGGCAGGCTGGGTGTGGTGACCTTATTTTCTGAACCAGGGAGAATGATTTAATTCAAATTATGAAACAGATTAAGCTTTTAAATTTCTCATGTTAGTTTATCAAACTTAATTTTAAATAAAACTATTATGTCTTACACAAGGTTTCAGTGTTTCCTTTGTTAGGGGTGGTGAACCCTTTTTGGGTTCACAGACCTACAGAAAAAATCATTTGGGGACCACACAAGTAAGAAGCAAAAAATTCCCATCACTCACTGATGTGGCCCCAACTGAGAAGCCTCACTTCCCCAGCCTCGTGAGGTGAATTGAAAGAAAGGGGAGGACTGAGGTTCAGGAATTCCCATAGACCAGATTTACTTTCCTGGGGTTCCAGAGTTAGTGGATATTATGGACCTCCTTAGGCTCTGGGATAGGGACAAAAATGAGGGGTACAGTGAGTGAGACAGGGCTGCCAGCAAGTAGGATAGAGATGGAGTGCAGGATCTGGGAGGGAGCTGGGGTGCAGAAGCAGGCTGGGAATAGGGTGTCTGGCCAAGTGAAGGGAGCAGGAACAAGGGAGGGTGCAGTATGTGGCTAGGGGAGGGGGTTTAGGAACAATGTGGATGAAGGAGCAGGGTAGGGTGTCTGGCTAGGAGTCTTCAAACAGACTTCAAAGAGAAACTGCAGAGCTACAATTCATCTGCAAATTTGATACTATCATCTTAGAAGTAAACAAAGACTGTGAATGGCTAGCTAACTACAAAAGCAGTTTCTCCTCTCTTGGTGTTCACACCTCCACATCAGCTGCTAGAAGTGGGCCTCATCCTCCCTGACTGAATTGACCTCGTTATCTCTGGCCTTACTCTTGATTGGAACTCTTTTCTTATGCCTGTATATTTATACCTGGCTCTGGAATTTCCACTACATGCATCTGACAAAGTGGGTCTTTGCCCACGGAAGCTTATGCTCCAATAAATCTGTTAGTCCATAAGGTACCACAGGACTTCTCGTTGTTCTTGCAGATTCAGACTAACATGGCTACCCCTCTGATACTGGCCAGGAGAGAGTGTGCAGGAACAAGGGAGAGTGTCAGAGTAAGCTGGGGGTGCTGGTTCATGGGGCGGGAAATGAGAGGATTGGAGTAGGAGGGGTCTGGGCATGAAGGGTGGGACCTTACTTGTTTCGTGCCCTCTTATAGCAACGGCTGCAGCCATGCTGGCCATAGCCAGCCCTGGAAACTAGAGGTACCGCTGCCGCAGCAACTCTGCCCCAAACCACATGGCCACAACAGCGGTGCCTCCAGCCACTGGGGCAGCCCCAGAGCATGTGGCTGCAGCACCTCCAGTCCCTGCTGAGGAGCCTCAGCCCCAGCGCTGCCTCCTCCCACCGCAGCCTAACCTGCTGGAGGAAGGAGGGGAGCGCTCTCTGGCCCCTTCTCCCCTGCGTAGCTGCTACACGTGCCGTAGGCTGCCGACACCTGTGCTAGGGGGTGGGGTTTGGGACTGCCTCATGGGCTGGATCAAAGAAGGCCCAGAAGGTCTGGGAAGACACTCAATGGCGGACCCAAATGTGGGCTGAGCTGGTGCAGCAGGGCCAAAACATATGTGCCACCACCCATGAGATGATGGGGTACACTGCTCCTGCCATGCCTATGCCCCCTGACCCAGCTCCAGTCCTCCCTTCTGCCTACCCCCCTGTTGTCCCTGGCCCCCATCCACCCCCGAGGTCACCAAGGTCCCCAGCCATGAGGCGGAACTTCCACTTGCCACTCCGGGTACGTCTAGACTACATGCCTCTGTCGCCAGAGGCATGTAGATTAGGCTACCCGGCATAGGAAAATGAGGCATACCTGGGAGGTCAACAAATGCCTTTGTCGACCGCGGAGCGTCCAGACTACTGCGCTGCGCCAACAAACAGCTGGTCGGCTCAGCGCGGCAGCCATGTAAATTTAAATGAAGCGGCGATTATTTAAATCGCCACTTCATTTTCCTATGCCGGGTAGCCTAATCTACATGCCTCTGGCGACAGAGGCATGTAGTCTAGACGTACCCTCCCAGTCCTGAGCCTTCCTCCCCCTAGCCAGACTCTGAGTCCCTCTCTTCCCCAGTTACTCTTATTGAAAAACATTGTTTTTATTGACAGAGAAGGGAGGGGTTGTTGTGGGAAAGGCATAGGGGCGCAAGGCACAGGGCCCTAATGGGGAGGCTCTTGGGAGAGTTACTGGAGTCCATGGATGTGTACCCCCACCTGATGGGCCTGGCGGATGGCAGCTGTGTGTGGCTGCTCGAAGGCCCTTAAATGGCTTCTGCCCTCCCCCCACACCAGTAGGAAGGCCTCCACATTGCTCTACACAATGTTGTGGAGAACGCAACACATGGAGACCACTTCGGGGATGTTGTGCTCCCCCATATCGAGGTGGGTGAGGAAGCACTTGAACTAAGACCGTTAAGTAACGGTTAATTGACTAGTTGGAATTTCTGCATTCCTTGACTAGTCGATAGGCACTTCCGCATTCCACCTTCGAAATATACAAGAGCCCCCAGTGTAGCTGGGGTCAGCTGAGAACTCCCCAGCTGATCGCAGGTTCCGCGTTGTATTTCCCAAGAACCCGGGGTCAGCCGCAGCGGCGTTTCAAATGTGCTTTCCAGCTCAGCTGTGTGGTGCTGTCCCTTTCAAATGCTGAGGTGGCCTTGTGGTTGATGTATTGGATGGCTCAATGTTGTGGTGCTCAGATGGGAATATGGGTTTCATCTCTGGTTTCCCCCCTGCAGCTGGGGAAGCCCAAAGCAGCAAATCCAGCCATGGTGGAGTCAGGTCTCCCAAGCAGATGACTCTGCTCAGCAGGACAGAGTTGATGGCCCTCACCACCGGCAGAAAGAGAGACACAACAAATTCAGAGGGGGTGTAACACAGGTGCCCTGATGGCCCCTCCATCCACATTAATCACAACTCTATAGTTCCTGCAGAGCTGTGTGAGGGTGGGACTGCAGAACCCCCCAGGGATGGGGCTTCCCCCCAACCTCCCTCTGCACCCTCATTCCCCTTTCCCTGGGGTCTCCCTTTCCAGTATCCCCCTCTTCTCCAGCAGGGACTGCAGCCCGAGAGTACCTTACCTCCATGAGGAGGGCCCTGATGGCGGACTTTACCGTGCCAAACTGGTTGTCACAGACCGGTAAATGTCTGGGGTGGTGAGCTTCCAGATGGCGATGCAACCCGCTTCTCCAGATGGATGGCAGGTTGCATCTGGGTGCCCCATCGTTGGAGGGCAGGGGCAAGCCAGGGACACAGCTCCATGAAGGTGGCCTGACGCATGTGGAAGTTTTGGAGCCACTGCTGGTTGTCCCACCACTCCATGACCAGCTGGTCGCACCAGTCGGAACTGGTGTCCAGCCTCCAAAACCGTCTCTTCACTGTGGGATGCAGTTGCCAGGGCCTTGCTCCGCACACAGGGAGAGGGTCTCAATGATGAGCTCGGTGTCGAGCTCGGGCAGGGCCATGAAAGCAGCCTGCACAAACTGCAGCAGAAAGTGCAGCATGGCAGTGTGGGGCCATCGCATGCCCAGAGGCAGCTCCGGCTCCATGGCTAAGGTTGCCAGGTGTCTGGTATTTTTGCTTCCTGTCCGGTTAAAAAAAATTCTTGAAATACCAGACACCTAAAATGCCCGGTACTTTCTGATTTCCCCCTCTTTCTCTCAACCGCCCCCCCCCTGACCAGGAGGCGAAAATCCCGGGCTGTCCGGCTTAATACGGAGGCAGACTGGCAACCCTAGTGCTTACCGGGTTCCTCAGGGGAGCTGTCTGGCTCCTCACAGGGAGGTAAGATGGTGGGTAGCCGCCGGCAGCCAGTTAGGGCCAAAAAGACTCACAATGCGTTTTTTGCTTAACAACTCTCTCGGGGTCCTTTGTTTCAGAAAAAAAAAAATCTGGGAACCCTATCTGGCAAGGAGTATGCTGTGCTGTCCAAAATAGCTGGGCATCCAGAGCATGCACTGCAAAAGATTTGCTGTCCCTCGGAGAGGTAAGCAAGCAGAAGAAACAGAGAAATGGCTTTCCAGGAAGGTACCTTTAAGCACACATCTCAGATAGCCTTAGGCAATACCACTTAGAAGCAACTGCTGACCTAATGCCTGGCCTGAACTGGTTCGGGGTGGCCTTAAATGCAAGACATCATACACACTGATTGGATGCTATCTTTTGTAAAAGCAGATCACTTTTTCATTGTGCTTTTGCTATGTGGACACTCTCCTTCAAAATAAGCTTTTCTGGAAGAACTCTTCCAAAAAAAAAAAGCTTATTCCAAAAGTTTGCAGTCTTCATGTAGCCATAGACTGAAGTCAGCTGTGTGAGAGGACTCACCCAGCACTCACATGCACACTTTTTGGGGACAATACGGTCTTGTACTGTATAGAAAGATCTGCACAGCACAAGCTCATAATTCATGCTCTCCCTCAGTGTGGAAAGAGGTATTCATAACTTCTTGTTCCCCTTTCCCTAAGATATGAATTGCACAAAATGGATTGTTATAATTAAATACATTTATTAACTACAAAAGGTAAATTGTAAGGGATTAGCAAATGGATTCAGGCAGATTAGTAAATAAACAAAACCTGCAGACTGATCTTAGCACATTGGATAGATAGGGTGAGAATCTGGTAATGAATATACTGAGTGATAAACAGGCTGGCAGTCTTAAGGCACAAATTGCTCTGGCTTCCACAGGTTTTCATACACACTCTAAAAATCCTGTCAGCATGTGACCATCAGTTCAGTCTTTGTTCCTCAGTGTTTCCAGATGTGGTGTTGTAGAGAGAGTGAGGGCCCCCCCCAATATGTCATTGGCCCCCTTTTATATTTACTTTCCACTTGCTGAAAAGCTCTTTTCCTGTGATCTGGGTCAAACAGTTCCCATTGTGCATCGCTATCTCTGAGCGGTTTCTATTGCACACAGTTCCTGGGGCAATCCTTGTGCGTGTGTGCATTTCCTAAATAAGCCATTCACATTTTTTGGCCTTTTTACTGTTGTACCTGAAAGGCAGTTAGTGTTTTCAACCTCACTCCATCTTTCAGTAACACACACATAGCCAACTTCATAACTTCAAGCTGCTACAATCATACAAATAATATAGTGCTATCAGCTCAGGAGCATGAGATGGTAGTATCACAAAAACATGAACTACTTATTATTTGTATGATTGTAGCAGGTTGGAGCCCCAGGCCTGGACCAGGGCTCCCTTGTGTTAATCAGCCCCTAACTAGGTTTGAATCTGGCCTACAGAAGGACCTTACAACATTTGCAAGCTTGACTTTGCTCTTTCCTACAATGGACAGAAAACCAGGGAAACCCAAGCAATCAAATACCACATCTGGGTGTGGCCTGAAGTACGGGCCAAGGTATTTGACCACATGTGCATTACCCCTGGGTAAGTAAAAAATGATTGTGAGATGCAGTGGCAGGTCACACAGGATTTTATAAAGGAACTTGTGATGTGGTAAAACTGGCTAGGTGTAATGGCAGAGGGGTAGGCTAATTATGGCATAGCCATCTGTGCTAATGATTGCATTTTGAAGGAGAAAGGGTTTCTTACAAGTCCTGCAGCAACACTGAGTCTGCTTCAGAAGATGGGTGTAATAAGATTTTTTTAAACTCCTAATAAGTTCATCAATCATGCATGTATTATGTCCTGTCATCTCTGCCTAGTCATTCCTAGGTTAAGAACTTTGGATGCAAAGCAATATAGGAAAAACCAGATATTACCACACCCATTATCATGCCACTGAGTGCTCTGCCCTCAGCTGGAGACCTCATAATAATAGTGGAGTTCATTGGATACTCTTTTACCTCATGTAAGGATCTTCCCTGGCTTTTCCCCTTTGCCCTTAACAAACCATAACAATCACCTTAAAATACTATATGGTCACCTATGAGTCACACAGTAATGAAGAAAAATGTTCCCAGGTAGATAGGTAGTGCTAGGAGCTATGCAAGGCCTGAATTGTTTTGTGGACTGCTAAGAATTACTGGGGGTATTCTGTGTAAATCCCAGACATTCCCTCATTGCAGCTGCCAGTAAAATTCTCCCAGCCTGTATGGAGCTTGCCACATTTGCTAACTGTATGGCCACCAAGGGGTTAAGAGACCATGACAGTTTCCAGGGTCCTGTCACTATGTAAGCAGCCATTAGCAAGTCTGAGAGCCCAGGTTGACAGGCTCAGCTACAGCACTAAAAATAGTTCTGTAATGAGGTGACTTGGGATAGTGCTCAGGCTCCAAAGCCCCCCATTTCCTAGACTTCAGCATTAGGCTCCAGAATGGCTATTCTTTGTGCTATAGTATGAGTCCAAGTCAGTTGAGCTGCTCTTTGAGACTCACTGCCACACTCTGTGCATGTTACCTACTCATCTCCTTCTCCTTACGTATGGTTTGTCCTTATTGGCACCTTTTGCTGTATAATTTCACTTCTACAATTAAAATATAGGAGAAGCAGCACAAAATGCACAGATCAGTAGGAAGGGGTTGAGGTGGCCTGGCACCCTCCCAGCCCTGGGCTTTTCTGAAGCCACAGTGTATTTCTAGACATGGCTGAGCACCTGTCTATATTACAGTAGCGTGTTCCTATTTGCATTTGGGATACAGAACTCTCTAGAATCTCTGCATTGGGGGGACTTCACTGTCCTGCCCCTCTCACTCGCCTTCCCTGTGCCAGGATTTGTATGGGGGTTCTTAGAAGATAGCCAGACATCTGAATTCTCCAATTCCTGCATTGGGTGAATTGTCCTGAGAGGATCTGGGCCTCTTTTAGCTCTTTCCTGCCACTCCAATTTTCTGGTGTAGTAGGATTGGATACAGGGTGAGGTGCTCACCCCAATGTTTAAGGCCACCTTGTGCCTGGTAACATGCTCACCAGCTGCTGCCTCTTTATACCAACCAATCTGAACCTTTAATTTTAATGTACCCAGGTTGTATTATGTTTCTCATTTGCATATGCAGATTTTTTTGCATGCACTATTTTTGCATAAACACCTATTGCCCCTTTTGATAATATGATCTTGTCCTTTTTAAAGATGGGAAGAATTACAATCTTTAGTTCTTCATATTTTATCTGAATATGCAGTTCAAAACTGAAGTGCATGCCTCTAGAGGTCACTGATGCATAAGGGTTTGAAACAGAAAAGGGCAAGAGAAGAAATGTACATGTGAGTGAAAGGAAATGTTAGCCAAGTGACTAAGATTTTGGATTAATTTTGCAACCAAGGAATGAATGAATAAATAAATTCACTTTTTCTGCATGCATTTAGCCAGAGAAAATGGTTAAAGAGCCATAGAAACTGAGCTGTTTTCTGGTGAATACTTTGAGAGGCTAACTAGTGAAAGCGCAAGCAAAATTAGTGCTATAGAGCCTTTCTCTATGCAAAACTGATCCAAAGAATTTCTTCTAGTACCAACACTCCAGGAATCAAGGAGCAGTAACAAACCACTGACACATAGACAACAATGAATACTGAGGAGGATCTCCTACCTCCAATGACTTCCACATAACTAGTCTATTTTGAAAAAAAATTGAATTAATTTAATCATCAGGTCCAAAATCACATTTTTCTTTTGGCCATGTTCCCCACGTTGATAGTTGGAAATGCAATGTTGTGGATGGACAGACTAATTGTCCCTAAAATCAGAAATACTGCAGCATGGGAAAAGGCAAACTCATTTGTATGGTCTCTTCAACTCACCACAGCAGTGTTAGCTGATTTGCTGTGGGGTGTTTTTCTGGGGTTTTGGTTCCTCTCCTATAAGTCAATATGCTATGAAGGCAGATTTCCTCATCAAGAGCATGTCTAGCTCAGAAAGTAGAGGATGATACCCTTTGCTCTCAGCTGCTCACAACACACTTCCATCTTCTGCGCAAA